GGAGACACTTCTATCTCTCAGCTGGATTGAGCTATTTTATTTTGTGTATGAGAAGCCATAGACATCCCCAAACACTAATATTACCTTGACTCATTTATTTGAACAAACTCCGAATGTCTACTATGCTTTTTATGTGTTAGGTAAAGCTCCAGAGACATCTCCATCTCCAATATCTCCAATATGACTAAAATTTATGACCGAGGGCAGACATAACAACACTAACTACAATGTTAAGTGTGAGTGCTGTATAAAAGATGTTCACAAGGTCTCAAAAGGCCAGAAGGGTGGTAAAAATTCTAATCACAGGTAGAAGTTGTTGAGAAGACCTTTGAGAAGAAATCATTGGTGAGCCAAACCTTGAAGAAGAAATATCAGTTTGGAAATTGTAAGGATATACCACTTCAAGTACTGACTGTACTCTGGGAGTTAGGATCAAGTGTAGAGGCTTGGAGAAGAACAGACCTAGGAGACAAATGCTTCTGGAAGATGGTCTGTTGGCTCAGAAAATAAAAGGATACTATACCTTATTGCTCCAAGAAATACAAACATATATTTTTCAGTTTTTATCGTATTAATTAAAATGGAATTTAAAGTGAAAAACAGCACAATATTATGGGACAGTTCCTCTTTGTTAGAAAGACACAAAATTGTCATGTGTATTATAGTTGGCATCATTTCACCAGGATAAAGCATAGTTTGACTGTCATATCCAAAGAGGGAAATATCCAGACAAAAACAACATAATTTTAAGAGAAGCTTCGTCCTTCCATATACCACTTGACTGGGCAGGGTATGCCTGGCAGGTACCACATTAACTTTTCCTCTTACTGAGATGGTGAGGTCTTGCCTATAGTACTAAGAATCACATAAAATATTTACTTTGTTATATTTTGATGCTTCTCTCTTGTGGTGTTTCAAGTTTTTGGCATTAAAATTGAAGACTAGATATTCCATACATTTTAATGCTAGACATTGATAGACAACAGCTGATAGCAATGGAGGGGAATCGACTTGCTTTGGGGTTAAACGTGTGGCTTGTTAAATATCTATCTATTTTAATATAATTTGGATTGATAAAGGGATCCAGCCATTGATTTGCTTTAAATTAATGACAAATATAATTTATCCTTAAGATAAACTATAAAGTTTCTCAAGTCATAATTATCATAATTTCATAAGGAGAAGTGCCATACTTTTCAGGTTTAACAAGTGTATAGGTTCTATATTTTGCTTGCTTTTACCTTTGTAAAGGCAGCAGACTATTGCTCATGAATAATTAAAAGAACATTCATTCCAAAAACATACACTTGGATGGTTGACGTGATAATAATGATACTTTTAAGTAAGATTAATAATCTGGGGAATATACTACTTTATTTACTTTATTTTTAATAGGAAAGCAATATTCTGGTTTATGAAGTTGTCAAGCCACACATCCTAAAGGAAAAGTTTCAAAAGTGAACAAAATGGGGAGATGTATCAGTGGTGAAACTCACTGGTTGCTTTACCAGAGGACTCAGGTTCAATTCCCAGCATACACTTTGTGGCTTACAACCAGTCATAATTCCAACTCTAGAGTATTAGATGCCCTTGTCTCTCTTCTTCAGGCACTACACACACTTGATTCACAGACATACATGCAGGCAAAACATACACACACACACACACACACACACACACACACACACACTCACTCACTCACTTTAAAAATTCCAAAGAGAAAATATCTTGCTTACATTAAAAGCAGTAAGTTTCCTATGAGCTGATGAGGAAAGGCAACAACCAATATATATATTTAATATATTTAATGGTAAGTTAATAGTCCTATGGATTTTTCAATAAATATATTTCTGTGGATTTTTTTCTGATCAGGAACTATAATTATTAAACAAGTAAACATAAAAATCTGAGACACAAGGCCCCCATGGTATTTAGAAACTCAAATTAATGCAAATTTCCATGGATAGATTTTCAGCCAAGATAAGTCTGTAAAGGTGATGGTGAAACTCATCAACACAGCAAATCAATCTCTGATTTTTGTCAGAATTACCAGCTATTCAAATAAAACATCCTGCATCTAACTATATTCAAAAGAATGTGACCTTTTATCCAGTTTTACTTAATTTTCCTTTGAAATTTTCCCATTTTTTCACAATTTTAGTGGGGGAGGGCAGGAGACAAAAGCAATCCAAAGGCAATTATTTAATTGTTGGTTTTGTTGTAATTAACTCAAAGTACTTGTTGAATTCCTTCTAGAGTCAAAATTCTATACCAAATTTTATTTTGAGTAATGAGTTGGAGTGTTGTTATGGTCCAATAACTGCTTTTCTTTTTTTCTCCAGAAAATTCTCCTTTTAGTGCTAAGATGTAATGAGATGTAGGGAGAAGATGCAGTGGATTTCTGAAACCCACTGGACTCAGAATAACATGCAAATTCAAGGCATCTGAAAGCAGAGGAAATAATGTCACAGAGCCAAGGACATGCAGTACATCTGGGAATCAGTAAGTGGTTAATCTGACCAAAGTGATGGTCTATACTGTGCCTGAATGGGCACAGAGGGTAATGAACAGAATCCATAGTGTACGAGACACCAAAGTCAAGGATTCTCACTCAATGAGCATGGAAGTTCCGTTGACATATCAAGAGCTGTTTTAGGATAACTCATAAGAGGACAGTGTGCAACATGGGTACAAATTAGACCAAGATGTGAAGGGGGACCAAGGGAAGAGGCCACAGAAATAACTAGGCTGGGATGATTAGAGGCTGGCTTAGGACCACAGTGAGACTACTGATCAAGACCGACTGAGAGGATTTGAAAGGCAGATCCCACAGGAAAGCAAAATGAAGGAAATCTGGATGATATTGTGATTACTGACTAGAAACTGGTAAATTTATAATGAAGAGCAGGGAATGTATGACCATTTATATTTCAGGGTAAAATCAATTGATATTAAATTAAACCTGAGGTGCCATATGATACCATCAAAAAATGTTCAAGGAGACCTTAGACAGGGCAAGTTGGAGTTTATACCAAGTGCAGGGGATACTGAACACAGCCATAACCTGAGTTTACAATGAAGCAAGAAGACATGGGCATGTGCAAATTATTTTATATTAGATTACTAAAAGTAGAATAAAAGAGGTGCATTTTTTTTCTGAATTATTTGAGAAGCCAAAATTAATTTCTAATGTAACTGGGCAGGGCTTGCTAATCTGGCCTTTGAAATGGTTTACAATTTTTGAACTTGAATTGGAATAGGCTTAGATATAAATGGAGAATTCCAGAAGAGGATCAAGGGTATTGCAGGTAGCTGAAAAATTTGATACCAGTAAAGGCAATAAAACAGAGAGACACACCTCTTTGTGAGGGAGGGAGGAAGACACTAACGTTCCAGCACTCTGCTTACTTGTGGAGGAATGAAGAGAGGGAGGTAATGAAGGATCATGATTCAGACTACACCATGATGGGACAACTGGTTAAATTACGTGTTGAATGACTAAAGTCTATATAATAAGTAGCTCAATAAAAATGTATTTCTAGCATTGTCTGTACACACCTTTCATCCCAGAGGCACACAGACATCTGAATTTAAGGCTAGCCTGGTATACACAGTGAGTTCCAGACCAAGAAGGGATAAATAGGTAGACCATAGGGCAGAGGGACAAAGAAAGAAATCAAAACATGTTTGTAATGCAAACCTTTAGTCTTAATTCTTTGAGCTTTAGGACTAAAAACCTCCACGCCTTATATTTTTAACAAATTAGAAACTTTAATGTGTACTGTATGGTAATGTTTCTATAAGCACATGTCTCACATTTTTCATTTTAAAATATATTTTATTGTATTTTATATCAAGGGCTTCAAATGCTACCTTTTTAGGTCAGTGCTAATAGGAATTTTCAGAAGGTTAGGGGTAAAGATGCATGTCACTTACCTAATTTCTTAAAAGACTAGACTATTTCTATAAGAAAAGTCCTATGTTCAGAATGCTCAAATGATGTTAATTCTCTATCCAACATCTCTTCCATTATTGCCACTAAGGTGGCAGACACTGGTTGTATGGTATGAAACCCAGCATGGATCATTCCTACATACACAAGCTTTCCTTTGTCTATGGGATTGTCTTAGAAATATTCACACCTGCATACACATCAGAGCATTGGCGTCATTAATGATTGACTCCATTAATGACTGAGTGTTTTTATAGATAGCAGAATTGCAGTTTTCTAGAAATACAGAAATCAGCCTAGCAGGAGTACATTTTAGTCTATAGCAGAAAAGGAGTTGATCTAAAGTACACACTGGCCTTGCATTAAATATGCCGTTTGCCATGCTTTGTTTTAATGGCAAGGCAACACTCAAGTCGGTCAGTACTTAGACTCTGGTGTGGAGGTAAATGATGTTGCTCTAAAGTCTTCCATGACAAGGCTAAAGGGCCTCAAGGAGCTACTGGATTTCTTACTTTTCCATCTAAAATAATCCTTTATGTGCCTTATACTTTCAGGCAAGAGTTCTCAATGTTAAATATGCTTTCCCTGTTTCAAATAAAAGGTTCCCAAACAAATGTTATGCTGTGTCTTCTTTGCATGCTACACTTAATATGCTTTCATTATACCTAATGCACTGTTAATAGTCTCCTATGGCAAGATGGGAATATTAAATGTGGGCATAAAACATCCATGATACCACCTTGAATTTGTGATAATGTTTTTCATCTGCGGACTCAAAGCACCTCACGCATACGCTCATTTGGTCTTTCCTTGAGCTTTAATGTGAGCATTTTAATGGCTAGGATACTGAGGGGTGGCATTGCTAAGAGAATTGAGGTCACTGACAAAGTCCACATTATACACAGTAAAGATGTTCCTATGAAGCTGTGAGCATTCCTTCCTTCCAGCCCAGCTGCCTCCAAGGTGAGTATATCGGTGTCTCGGGGGTGGGAGGCAAATTATGATCACATCTATACTGGTCTTGTCCTTCTGGCTTCGTCTCTCTTACCTGGACACCATCAGACGCAGGGATGTAACTTGCCCTTTTAAATGTATCTGTCACATTTCTGAGTATTTCCACAGACACTAGAAGGTCACCGGCATAGAAATTTTTCCTCTGGGTTAAATCCAACAGTGTCTTGGTGACCTGGGACATTCCATCACCTGCCAGCATCCGCTGCCCCTTCGCAAGATGCTCTTTAATCTGTTATAGTCAAAAGAACAGAAAACACATCAGAATCTCCATTACTGTTTCTTTCCATCTCTTCAATTAGCAACTGTTTTTAAATTGTTCAGTCTACTTTAAAACAGTCTTGTGGTACTTAGAAGGATTTAAAAACAGTAAAGTCTATCCTAAGTGTCTGGGTCATCCAGCCTCAGGGTCCTGGCGTTCAAGGCACTGTCAGCTTGGGTGAGCTCACTCTTGAGGTCTCAGGCTGGACCTGTCATTTGTTGGCCACTCCGAGAACCTGTGTGTCACCCTTACCCCAGCACATCCCATAGGCTGAACAGATGATAGGTCAAAGGTTATGTGGGTGGGTTGGTTGGTGTACCAATCCCTCCATTGGTAGTCTTGCCTGGGCACAGGAAGTAGCCAGTTCAGACTATGTATCCCCTTTTGCTGGGAGTCTTATCTGGGGTCATCCTTGTAGATTCCTGGAAGTGTCCCTTGTACCAGGATTCTACCTGACCCTGAAATGACCCTCCTTTCCATCTGGTTCTTTCAGTAATCTCCCCCTACCCCACCCCTGCCTGATCCCTTATGTTCCCATTCCCACCTGCCCCCAGTCTACCTACAAACTTTCTTCTATTTCTTTTTTCCCAGGGAGATCCAAATGACCCCCTTGAGCCCTCCTTGCTATCTAGGCTCTCTGGGTATGTGGATTGTGGCATAGTTATTCTTTACTTTAGAACTAACAGAAACCGTGGTCAGGATATAAAATCAATTAATTAATTAATTAAAAAAAACAGTAAATTCAATGTATCCTAAAGTTTAATGGGTTAACAGTCCAGCATACAAAAGCTAATGTGAACATTGTGTATCTTTTTCAGAATTGACAGTCTTCCTGTTTTCAATTAGAATATACAATAAATGCATTGGGGGAAATATATTTCAAGTGCAGAATTTTTTTTTTTTTGTATTTGTTACATTTCATTATTTTTTTCCTTTTATTTTATTTTACAATACCATTCAGTTCTACATATCAGCCACAGATTCCCTTGTTCTCCCCCCCTCCGGCCCCCTCCCCTTTCCCCCAGCCCACTTCCCATTCCCACCTCCTCCAGAGCAAAGCCTCCCCCGAGGACTGAGATCAACCTGGTAGACTCAGTCCAGGCAGGTCCAGTCCCCTCCTCCCAAGTGCAGAAAATTTTTAAAAATTACTTTTACATGTAACAAGTCAGGGAAGTTATTTAGAAAAGCAAGATCAGAAATGAGCTTATAAACAAGAGATGGTGGTGTATGCCAGTAATCCCAGCACTTGGGAGGCAGAGGCAGGACCGCTGTGAGTAGTTTGAGGCCAGCCTGGTCTAAAAAGCGAGTATGCCAGAGACTACATAGAACCATGTCTTGAAAAACCAAGAGAGAGAGAGACAGAAACAGAGAGATTATAATTACTTTATAATATTTGTTCTCAACATCAATTTTGGTTATCACTGCCTTACCATCACACTGCCAGAATGACAGATTGACCAACTGCTCTGTTCCTAAACTACTGAGAAATATTTACAATTTTCTGTTTGGGTCACATGTTGCATGACTTCCTGTTATTGTGCTATGACACTCTATCTCTTTCTTCCTTTATTTTCTACAAGGCACAAAGATTGGTTCCTCATTATTCGAAATAGACAACGTTAATAAAGTCCTTCCTTGTGCTCTCTCTCATCCTGTACATTTCCCATTCTTACCACATTGACTATTCATCATTGTTGTCCACCTTTCTGTCCCAACACCCTTACCATATGGTCCAGCAAAGATCCATCAGAGCAGATTCAATTGTTATGCACTAACTATCCCTCTGCAGTGTAATGCAGTAAAAAGAACTTCAGAGCCAAGAGGGCCCAGGCTCTGAAGTATACATCTTGTCATTGGTAGAAAGATTGGTTTACTACCTCTCTTATAATTCAAAAAAAAATACAATCATGCAGTATAGTGCTTTAAAAATTGTTTTGTTAATTCAAATGCACTGGCACGAACCTGAGATAATCAGCAGCAGAAACTATACAAAGAAGGCCCTTGCTGTCCCATTAACTAAACTCCTCATGGTAGAAGTCAAGACATGCAGCAACTTCACCCTCATTTCCCGTGGTCGAGTCACTCATCCTTTCCTCTTCCTCAAGGAGGGAAGAGGACATCCCTGCTCTGGGACCTTTCCATTTGCTTTCCCTTCTGTCTGAACTAATATACCATCGTTGGTCACCTTCTCAGAAAGCACTATCAAAAATGACTTTCTCATGCCTTTCAATCGCCATATCCCAGTCCAACTTGAGCAACTTTACCTGCCATATGTTCTCCATTTGGTGTACTGTCATAATTTTATCATCAACATGACTTCAGATACTGACTGTGTGAGTTAGATGAATGGATGAGTCCTCTATTCTCTCATCATTGTTAGACCATAAGAGTGAGCCAGTAAACATCAGAGTTGTCCCATCTTACTTCTCGATGTTGTCAACATCAAACACTTCAATCAATAGCTTGAGACAAACCAATATCTTGAGACATATAACCCTCTTGACTTACAGAGATACTACAATATCTAGGCTGGAAAACGTGTGGCTCAGCAGAGGAGGTTTAGGGAGTTCTGGATAGGAACAAAGTGAATAGGACCGGCCTAAAATGTCACAGGTTCAGTTTGCAGTTCTGTACTGACATGTGCAATTCAGAGAGGCAAAGGACTTAGATTTTTTTTTTCACCTGGGGCAGAAACAACAGCTACCACTCTGAATGAGGTCTGACTGCTTTCATCTATTATTTTACAATCTATGCTGCGTCTAGGAGGGATATTTATGTCACAGATCTTAGGGGTGTTTCCCCTCACAGAATTAACTTGAACCTTTAAGAAGAAAACCTTCAGGCGTGATTTCTGTTTGCAATAGAAACAGTTATGGGAGGCACTGAACAGACCATCCAATCAGAGCCGGGAAAGGCAGCCTTCCTCATCTGTGTCAGCAACACATCTAGCCTGAGTTAGTATTAAATTAGCATCATCACCATCTGACAGCTGCTTAACAGGCTTATGTCGAATGAGCGGTTCTCAGTCCAGTTCTCAGCAAACAGTCGCTCAGATCATTCCTGCTCTCGCAATTGGCAGTAATTAGCATCCTCTGGGACATCGTTACTAAAAAAGACCCCAGGCAAACACCTTGCAGTACTTTTACGTGCTGGTGTAGACGATGCATAGCATTGACACAGAGAATAAAGAGTATTCAGAGAAGACATGTTGCTTCCCAGAACATGTTGAGTTGAAAGATGCTTTCCAGTTAATGGACAGTGAATATACTGTGTGATCATTCTTGGAAATCTCGTTAAAGATTTCAGAGTAGGTGCAATTCTAAAACCTATCTTTTTTTTTTTTTTTTTTTTTTTTTTTAGACAAGATTTCTCTGTGTAGCTTTGCGCCTTTCCTGGAATCTTTTAATTGTGAATATGCCACTTATTCTTTAGGAGGATTGGAGAAATTTCTGTCTTCTAGATTATTTGATTTGTCTGTAAAAAAAAGGAGGACAAGTCCTGTTTTTGGTATTGGTTAATATCTTGCACCTTTCCAGGATTCAACTTCCAATTCCTCTTTTCTCTCTGATTAGATAATGTATACTGGTCTAGAACTTTATGTCTTTAACACCCAGCTCAGTAATTATTGCTTCATCTGGATTTAATTGGCCATCTATTCTAATTATTGATTGGTGTGACAATATTTCCCGTTTTGTTATACTTTGAAAATGAAACCCCCCCTTACCCACCCAGCCTCGGGTATAAGATGGCTCCTAGCTCATGGTGATATTTTGAGAGGTACTGGAAGTTTCAGGAGGTGGGGCTCAATGGAAGGTGGTTTTAGAAAATGTCCCTGGGAGTGTGTTTGGGGAATTACTGTCATCACCGGCTTGTTCCTGTCTGCATATCTTGACTTCCGTTTACTACAATGTGAGCAGATTTGCTATATCACATGTTCCCTGTCATAATCAGGATGTCCTGCTCTCAGCAATAATACCATCAGACAACCATGGTAAGAAATTGTGAGCCAAGAGAATGTTCCTTCATGATGGTGCCTCCTCAGATACTTAACCATAGCAATGAATCACTCAGTTAAATACTAATAAATGTTGTGCCTAATCTTTTACATTCTCTCCCATTATTTAACTATATTCTATTCTTCCTCTCATCTCTTATTTTAGACAAATAGCTTTTTTTTTTCATATATGCATCTCTAACTCTCCTGATTCCTATATGCACTAGCTTTCAGCTCATGGAATTTAACTAAAACAATGAATAATTATCATAAACATGTGGAATGCTCTCATTCTTCAGGGCCCCAATCCAGGGTTTGTAAAGTATCATGGAGACCCGTTGCAGATTCCTTTATTTCCAGCAGAGGAGTTCTCAGGCAGTTTGAGGGTCCTGTTGCAATTCATGCCAATTATCATGTGAATTCCATCAGCTCTTAGTTCAGGCTAGGAATTTCAATTTCTGAAAACTATTTTCTTTTCTCTCTCTCCCCCAATTTTCTGAGTCACACAGTTCACAGAAATGCCCTAGGTCTGAGAGTTCACATAGTTTTCTTAGCTATGAAGCCAGGATAGCAACGGGGTGTCTGGTTATTGCAGGAGAGTCCCTCTGCTTCTGTGGAAGGTGGTGGGTCCTGAAAGCATTCCCATGAGGGATTTTGAATCTTAGCCTCTAGCCAGTGCATTGGGCTCTCATATACCATGACATTCCCTCAGCTTCACTCTGTAACTTGGCCTTTGTTTAGTTTTCTTTCTTCCTTCACTTTTGGTATGTACAGACTCTCTCTCTTAAGCTCAGCTATACTTTTGTTTGTGAAAATAAATACTTGTCATTCAGTATGATCTCTGAGGGTCAGCTTTGCCTAACCCATGATTCCTATATTTCTGCTAGTCTTCCAATGACATCTTATCCAAACTCTTTACCTCTTCCAAAAGAAATGACATGGAATTCATGTTTGCTTCCTGACTCGCTGTCTTCTC